TTGGGCATACCGGGGGTTGTAAAAATCTTATATATATGTGTGTGTGTGTGTCTGTGTGTGTGTGTGTGTGTGTGTGTGTATATGTATATGTATATATGATAAATGTATGCCATGAAATATTTGATTTGTAGCCAGATTGATTAGTCCAGTGTGGCAAAATTTTATATATATTGACTTTTTTTAGGGGAGACGTAACTATGAATGGTTTATAGATGAGAGCATCTCCTACACAAACTGGCAAGATGGAGAACCACAACAAATGGCGGGGTGTGCATACATGGATATAGATGGAACATGGCGAACTGCCAGTTGCAACACAAAGCTTCAAGGGGCCATCTGCAAGTTGAACACAGGTAATATACCTGTATGACATCTATACAGATGGAGGAGGGAATACTGAAATAAGGACTCTCTTCTCTCATCCTCTGAATCTTAATAAAGAAATCAGGAAAAAATCATTTTGTCATTTGTTTTTAATGACTAAAATCAATGTAAGTACTTGCTAAGTTTCTTCTAACCAAGTATTCTGCTTCAGGACCCCTTTCTTCACACAAGTGGAGTTACAATGGAAGTTGTCCTAAAACAATAGAAGATTCTTCTTGGGTTCCTTTCCGAAACCATTGCTATGCTTTCCACATGGAAGTTATTCTAGGCCAGAAGGAAGCTGTGAAGAAATGCCAGAAAGGTGAATCTTGCTAGAATTAATGGATTCTTGTCTTGTTTGTTTTGGCTATTACTCGTTTGAAGTGTATAATTAAAGCATTGGAGGTCCAAATCCAGGGGCATTATCTTTTCATGAACCCCTCACCCAAAATAAATAGTAAGATATAAATGAGGATATGGATAAGGAGCAATCCCCTCTCTTTTACTCTGTCTATTTTTATATAAATGCTATGTGACATTCTTTTATCTTTGGTTTGACATGTATGCTATTTCTTACTCTTCTTTCTATTTCTTACTCTGCCCATCAAAGACATCTAGCATATTTGGTGATAATTATTTTGTGTCAGACATTTATTTAAGAACATTCTTCCAAAATTCCAATATTTTATTGCATTCTCACCAAAGATAAAAGAATATTCACTTTGATTGCCAGCTCCTCAGACTCGTCTGTATCTTCCCAACATCTCACTAAATATTGAGAAGATATGTGTGAGGTTCTTATTGGGGTTTGATGCGGCTAATGTAAATTTCCAGATGTAATTCCTGCATGGATACTCAAAAGAGTTTTTTTTTATGCTGAATAGAAACTGCCAAATGTTATTGCTTAGTTATTTCTACTAAGTCACAGACTCATTTTAGCCCTGAAATAAGTTTACCATAATTTCTTTCAAAATCTAATAAAACTTTGAAGTCATGCCATTATGTTCTGTTAATATTTTTTCCAAAAATTGATAGATGTCTATTTGCAAATTTCATCTCTTTTTTTCTTTTGTCATATTGAATTGACATAGCATCAAAGAAACCATGAGAATTGTTATTCCACTTTTTTTAGATTATACACATATAAAAAGCGTCTTTCTTGCTCTTAAGGGTGGTGTATGTTTTCCTCAATCCTGGGTCCTCTAGCAGCAGCCTTAGAATCTGAGGGTTCTGCGTAGGAGTTTAGCTGCTCCTAGCACTGCACTCTTGGACAAAGAGCTCTGATGTTGTTTCTGGGATCTGTTGGAGCCATTCATTAGTTTAAGTTGTAGCACTAGATTTTCCTACCACCACTGCTACCACTTTGGCTTTTACTTTCCAGATTCTGTACAGAATAATAGTTGGAAGGTTCCTTGGAGGTTTTCTAATCAAATCTCTATTCAAACAGCAACAAATGGTTGTCCAAACTTCCCTTCAAAATCTCCAGTGTTGGAGCAGTCACAACTTCTGGGGGCAAGGTCTTCCATTGATTAATTGCTCTCAGGAACTTTCTCCTATGTTCTAGGTTGGTTTGGACAACGTTTGATATGTACATGTTCCCGCCTTTCTGGCTCAGATCTTGCTTTCCTTTTTGCTGCTTTCACTTTATATCTAGTAAAAGTACTTTATCTCTATTAAAATGGAGAGTTGAGGTTTTTCTTTCTTGGATATTGAAGGAGGCATGCCTGACACTTGTTACTTTTCCCTTTTGAAACTTGTCAAGCCATCAATGCCAACAAATCTTTCCCCTATAATTATCCCCAAATTCCTAATATTCTTGTTCACTTCCTAAACAACTCCCAACCTTGTTCAGTTTCTGTATAGGCATAAACATCACTCTAACATCACTCTAAGTTCCTTTGTACTCTAAATGAGGAATGGTTTTGCTGCCCAATAAAAATATATCCTTATCTTAATAAATTAGCTATAATTTAACTATATTTCCTTAAGTCCTAATACAAATTAAAGTTTTATATATTATACTACATCATAACTGGTCGATATAATTTCCTTTATTATATTTTCATTTTGATCATCCTTTTGGAATTGTGCCTATTTTGATGTTCAGATTGTTCATTTTGCCAACATCAGTGGGAATCTTCAAGTCTGCCAGAATTTGATTCAAGTCCTGAATAATAGAAATTATCTCTGTTCCTTGTAGCTTTAAAGTTTCGACGGATATCTCCATTCATAGCAATTTTCCATTTTTATCAACAATTTATTATAGGCTTAAATGCAATTACATTTTGTAGAAGTTCGATGAATCTCTTTGTCTTCTCCCCATTTCATTTTCTTCAGCCTGTGACTTTCCTAAGAATTTTATCTCTGATACATTAATTTAGAAACTTAATTACAAAACCCCTGATTTTATTTCACTTTGCAAGCCTGGAATTTTGAATTCTTTGGGCATGTACTGTACTATAGTATGCCCTTTTCAGCCAAATGTAGATCGAGGAAGAGATTGTTACAATTTGTTTCTATATAATTTATCATAGTATTGTTCTGTTTTTTCTTTGATCTCTTTAATATAGAGGTTCATTAGCTTTAATATTCAGAATCTGCCAGAGGCATTTTAAGATCCATAATATCTTTCTCAATTATTCTTTATGCTAGTTAGAGGATGTTTTAGTACTTAAAACAATGGCCTGACTACAGGTAGTTCTTAATTTACAACAATTGAGCCAAAATTTCTGTTGCTAAGTGAGACACTTATTAAATGCTCCATTTTATGACCTTACTTGTCACAGTTGTTAAGTTAATCCCTGCAGTGGTTAAATTAGTAACATAGTTGTTAAATGAATCTGGCTTCCTCATTGATTTTGTTTGTCAGAAGGTCACAAAAGGTGATTATATGACCCCAGGACACTCCAACCATCATAAATATGACTCAGGTGCCAAACATCTGAATTTTGATCACCTGACCATGGGAAAGCTATAATGCTCATAAGTGTGAAAAATGGTCATAAGTCACTTTTTCAATGCTGTTGTAACTTCAAACGGTCACTAAATGAACTCAGTGAAATATTATAAGTCGAGGACTACCTGTACTTGCCTCAGCTATGTCTTATATCCTCTTTGGTAAAACTTTGAACTTTTTATTAATTATCTTCAGACATTACTTACCTGCTAATTTGTCTTTTACTGAAATAAAGGATTTCTGCCACTCCAGATTCAGATCCTAAATAAATTAATGTAATAAATGCTCGATATTTGGGATGATAGGATATCTCTGTGGCAGTAGACAGCAGTTTGTCCTCATCTTCCGCTTTTCAGCTGGAGGACTACTGTTTATTTGTTTTTGTCTAATTCATGCAAGTTCTGACTCTTTTTGCTTCTTGAGAAGCACCTTTCCTGGACAGTTTGTATTTCTCAGTTACCTTAGAAGGGATAAGCAATTGATAGTAGCTAAAAAGAGCAAGTTAAGGTACAAGAAGGGCATTCAGCACCAGATCTTCCATAGAAGCTCAGCCATACATCCAACTTCAGCTTTATTTATTTTATTTAGGAAATTTATTTGCCTCCCATCCCTTATGCAACAATTCTTTTTTAACTCTTTAGCTGCATGAGAGTTTAGGAGAATTTTAGCAAAACTGAAGTACATTAATTCGTTACAAATTGACATATTTATCCACCTGTATTTCTGTAAAACAGATATTAATTATGTGTGTATTTTCTGTAAAGGAAATAAAGTAGGGAGTGTTTTTTTGGAATTTTATCATCCCCATCCTGAAATTATCTTTTGTTGCCAAGCTGCAGCAAGAAACACAAAAGGGAAGATATTAAGAGAAACACAAAGTAATAATAGAAAAGAAATGGAGAAATCTTTTTATTCCTACTTTGTCTCTGTTTTAATCCAAAGCAGGATGCATGAATAATGTGTGGAAACTTTGATGCAGAAATTGTATCGTTTTCTAAGCTAAAGCTCCACACCAATACTATCCAACAATATCAAACTGCAGTAAAATAAAATTTAAAAATCACAGGCTATAAGGCAGAGATGGCGAACCTTTTTTGGCTCACATGCCATAAGTGGGGGGAGTGCAGGGGGGGTCGTGTGCAGGCGTGCCGCACCCATAATGCAATGTGTGTGGCCCCCAGTGTGCATGCGTGCACTACAGGCGCTCCCCCCCCATTTTTTGCATGCTTTTTTTTGCCCTCCCCAGGCTCCAAAGGCTTTATAGGAGCCTGGGGAGGGCGATAAAAGCCTCCACTGCCCTCCTGGAACCCTCCGGAGGCTACAGGGACTTCAGGAGGCTTCCCTGAAGCCTCCGGAGCATTCAAAACGACCCTCCAAGCAAACCAGAAGTCACTTCCGGTTTCCTCGGAGGGTTGTTTTGAGCGCTCCGAAGGGTTCAGGGAACTTCAGGAGGCTGCCCTGAAGCCTTCGGAGCAGTCAAAATGACCCTCCGAGAAAACCAGAAGTCACTTCCGGTTTCTTCGGAGGGTTGTTTTGAGCTCTCCGAAGGGTTCAGGGAACTTCAGGAGGCTTTCCTGAAGTCTTCGGAGCAGTCAAAACGACCCTCAGAGCAAACCGGAAGTCCGTTCCCGAACTTGCGGAAGTCCGTCCCCTAGGGCCATTTTTTTGCGCTCCGGAGACTTCAGGGAAGCTCATGAAGCCTCCGGAGGGCCTCCGGAGGGAGGCAGAGGTGGCTCTTTTCGCCCTCCCCAGGCTCCTATAAAGCCTCTGGAGCCTGAGGTGGGCGAAAAATGGCTTTAAAAAAGGGCGAACTCAGCTGGCCAGTGCGCGTGCCCTGACAAATGGCTCCGCGTGCCACGTGTGCCATAGGTTTGCCATCACTGCTATAAGGGAACTTGACTCCTGCATCTGTTTTGTACAAATGGGCAGCTTGAAACAAATCAGAAAATTTCTGATTCAGTCAACTAGAAGGTGGAAAACTGTGAGTTCTAGTCTTGTATTAGCCATGAAAGCCAGCTGGATGATTATAGGCAAGTCGCTCTCTCTCAGCCCAATCCACCTCACAGGGTGGTGGTTATGGGAAATATAGGAGGAGTAAAGTATGTCTGCCAATTTGAATTATTTATAAAAATAAGGAAGGTGGGATATGGATGAATGAATAGCATCTATGCAGTTGCTTGGTGGGATGGAGTGGTGGTGAAAATCGAGGAATCATTTCACCCTAATGAGATTTGCCTATCTATCCATGCTATCAGAAGAATAATATTATGGACCCTGCAGTTAAGGAATTCTGGCTGGCAAGGTCCCAGAGAAGGGCCCTTCCTCTGGAATGCTGTGATACTCACCCTTTTAGCCTTCTGAAAGGGCCTGAAGACCTGCCAGTGCTAATTGCCCTGGGACCCCAATAAGTCTCTGTTGCTCTCTTCCTTTTCATCTTAACTGTATTTTAAATGTATGGTCTTGATTTGTTTTTTAATGTTTTATATGGTGTTTTTGTTGAATGTATAATACGTTGGCTTTGATGAGATAGGCGGCATATAGGTTTGACATTTAAAAAATAATCAAAATCTGCCGGATGGCGAATATGGCATCCTGAATAAAATCCCTTCCTTTTGTACCTACCGGCTGTGATGCCCAACACTGAAATAAAATAGATAAAGCATTGATTATGATGCTGCCATTTTGTAGATTTTAACACTCCCAGCAGATACCTATGTATGTGAAGTTCTCTTTCTTGTAAACTTCAGTCTTACAGGAAGATTGCATAAAATCAAATGCATTTATTCACCAGGATAAATATGCAATATATTTTAGAATTAAAAATAATTGTAAAATATATTGCAGATTTATTCTGGTAAATATCCTTCATAATGAGGAAAATGTTCCTCATACAGAATTGTACAGAATTGTATAATTTAAGGGCCTCTGAACTATGGCAAAGCTTTTTTCTCACAGGGAAGTGTAAACTCTTCTGTAAATTTTTAGGCTGTTGCATCTCTTTTATTCTCCACAGTTGGAGGTATGGTGCTGTCCATCCTAGATGAGATGGAGAATATCTTTGTTTGGCAACATCTACAAGTTTATGAAAGCCAAGCCAAGGGGGTATGGCTGGGGATGTCCTTTAATCCGAAAGGTAAATCAAGCAGAATTGAGAGACTGCATTACTGTTTAACACTTAGACAACTTTGGTAACTTTGAAATTGATTTGCAGCAATGTAGCAATGCGCTATGCTGGAAAGTCATGGCTCTTTCACTAATCACACAAAGCATGTTTCTTCCTTCTGCACAGGGGGTTCACTTGTTTGGCATGACAGCACAGCTGTAAACTATTCTAACTGGGGACAACATGATACAGGACCAAGCATGATCAGCCCAAATAGCTGCTATTGGATCCAGAGCAGCAATGGTGTTTGGCGTCTGGGCTCTTGTTCAAATGTAACCATGGGAGTCATCTGTAAGACAACTCGAGGTAAGGAAATGAATTAAGTTTGTACAGATAAAATCAGGGTAGGCTTTTAATGATCCTAAATTGAACTACAGAACTGGAGAATGCAAACAGGAGCCGGAAGTTCTCACCCATCCATCTATTTTAGGACAAGGACAAATCATAACAGACACCATTTTATGATTGGGACGACTGTTTTTATGGGGGGAAAGCAATTTTTTCATGAAGACCTATGGATGAATTTGAGGAGTCAGCGAGAATTTTAAGCAGGAGGCTGATGGATTTAGACAGGAATTATTTGGGTTGCATTGTTCATTTTCCTGTAAACTGTGGTTGCTTTGTGGTAGCCCTGAATTAGAATTGGGTCTTTGATTGGGCCAATTGAAATTGAAATTCTTTAAGAGGTAAAAGGAGGTAAAATGACTGTTAAAAGAGAAACCCTTATTAGATGAAGGGAAGACAGTGAGTGGATTGCACATAATCTTTTCTATTCTGCCCGACTAAGCATTGTAAGAAATCCAGAAAGGTTTACATATGTTCACATTTTTCTAAGTTGGGTTAATTAAAGTATTACTCTAGTTTGTTTAATATTATGATGGAGGACAAAAATTAAGGGCTCCACTAGATGTAAAACTGATCTACCTACTTGTTGAGTATGTGGCTAAATTGGAGATATATTCTTTGAAATCAAGGCATATTTGATCACAACTTAGGTGATGCTATAGCAGAATATGAGGCATTATGGAATAGCTTGAACAGCATTGGAGAGGTAGGTCAAATGATATTGGGACAGGAAGCTGACATTCTTTATTTCTTTGTCTTTTCCATGGCAGCGAAAGGAAGCTCCATCTCCAAATCAGGTATGCTTTGTCCCTTTATCACTCAGTTCAGTTGCCTAACCCAACACACCTTTTAACACCACTGTAGTAACTGATAGGGTGAGAGTTGATCTAATTATGCTGTAAATACAAGGCCTTGCATATGAGTACCCAAATTATATAAAAAACAGCAGATAAATAAAACTAATAAAAATAAATATATTCTGTATGGCAGGTATTTGAAGCAGGTTGTTCAACTTAATGATTTTCCCTACTTGAATGACATTAGATAAGCATAACAAAGGCAGACAGCATGTCAGAAATAGACCTTCTTTAATTCTTCATCCTGCCTCCTACCTCTTATTTCACCCACTCTATCTCAGATGTGAAAGAAGCAGTGACTTGAGAAGTATAATCAGGATTAGGTAATTTTGAACAGGACATTACCATTGACTTTACCAAAGAGGATGCTTTGGTAACTCTTCAGATTTTTTGGGGTGGGCAGGGCAATGAGACACATGTGGTTAATAATTTTGCATGGATACTGCCATGGGATTTGTAGTCCCACCATGATTTCTTGTATGTAAAAGGTTTGTAGAGCATCACTTACTAAATTTTATTATTAAATTTTATTATTATTAAATTTTATTATTCTTTGAAAAATAATAAAAATAAAAAGTACTAGAAATAATTGAACAAATTGAATTTAACACATTTATGTATAATTGCAGGTTATGGCTGTTTTGAGTAGTTTGACAAAGTCTATGAGTACACAAAGTATTTAGATGAAATATACAGAGTTTCTGAATGGTTTGGAATCTCCAAATTTCAGTAATTCATCTCTTAGTGTTCATCAAGTTGTTGTTGTTGGTCAGTTTTACACACAAAGTTATTTTGCTCACTCTTGTTTTGAATACTGTTTAGCTATAAAAATGAATCTTTCCTCCTAACCTTTCTCCTTTTACTGCAGCTTTCCTGGAAAATACAAAAACCATTGTTGTAGTCATCCTCTCCACTCTAGCACTCTGTGCACTGGTAGCTGTGGCCTTCTATCTGTATAAGCGCCGGTTGATTTCAGAACAAGGGACATTTGAGAGTGCTCGCTATAGCCGCACCAACGCTAGTCCTAGTGAATCTGCTGAGAAGAACATCCTGGTATCTGATATGGAGATGAATGAACAACAAGACTAATAGTGAATGTGTCAAGTGTGGGAGTTGGGTAGGGATGGTGGGTGGTGGGAGAATGGGATGGGAGTGTCACAAGTACCTGTCATGAACAGTCTCAAAAAGCCTCTCAGGAGAGAACAGAACTGCTGAGTCAACAGCAGAAGAGTTGGAAGGCAGGGCAGTGACCCACTAAAGAGATGTGGAGAAATACTAAAAGGGACTTTGTAAGAAATCCCAGTTTACCTTTTTCTACTCAGAGAAAAATGATGGTTCATCTCTTGGAAGGAAAATCTCATTTTGTAACCTATAATCTCTAAGTAGCTATACAACTTCTTCACATCTCTTTAGAGACTTAGTATATAAGCATTTTTTTTCTCTCCGATAATAATAGCAAAACAAGTATTTTGTTGTATCTTTTCATCTTGCTCTTCCTACCCTGTCTGTTTCTTTCTCTGATATGTCCTTCCATTACTTCTCAGAGACATGTGAAAGGCCCTTGAATTCTTTTGGTTGAGATCAGATCTTCTATTCCACTGCTGCCCAGCAACTTTTTCTTTTTTAAGCCATGATGCTATCATGAAACCCATTGCCATAGAAAGCCTTTTCCTGAAACCATTGAAAGCAGCATCATTGAACTTTCATATTTACGAGTGCCAGCTTCATGACAGAAATATTTACAGCAGTGCTTAAAAGCTGGTGAATCTCTTTAAAGGTTCAATATTTCTACATAATATTTTGACTCATCTGTTTATTGGTTTCTCTTTATCTAGTTTTAGGACATGTGGAGAACAGATCATGGTTTAGGTCATATTTATGTATAAATATTGAAAGGATTCGCAAACTTTAAAGCACCAGTGTAGATGTACTTATTAAATTTATGGATGGCAAATAAATTTAATAAATAAAATAATAAATGACTGCTTTGGAATGGCAAATATAAGAATGTTGAAATGTTTTGGCAATTAGAATATTTTATACAATACTGCATAAAAATGGCCAGAGTATTGTGTAATTACTATTCATTGATTAAAAAAACCCTTGTAATTAAGAATATGCAGAAGGTGTGGTGTTCAGATCTTTATATCTTTGAGAGAAGAATAATCAGAACGAGAAAGTTATACTGCAGGATTACATTTTCCCAGATGAAATAATGTTTGAGCACTTAAATAAATGCCGGTAGGCAAAGCAGTAATTATCCTATGTAATAACACAAATGGGAAACAATAATGCATATTGTATAAAACCTGATTCAGCAGAAAGATATCATCCAGATTTTGGAACCCAGATGTGCTCAGAATCTGAGTTTCATCACAATCACAAAATGACCAGCACAACACAAACTTTTGTGTGTGAGGGAGATATCTGTATGCATGCATATAGGAGCATAGTTTGTATTATGATATTTGGATTCCCTTCTCAATATTTTATTTATCCTCCTACTTTGGGTAGCCATGTTTCAGGAACAGAAAGCTGGTCTGTGAATTGACATTCCATTCCACATGAGTTTAATCATTTGAAAAAAGTAAATCCTTTATTTTTATTTAAGAATAGCATATAGGCTGCTGGGCAACTTAAGGTTTGGATACCAGATGCTAAGAACCAATGAAAAAATACTGTACCTGCTTAGAATAGTGGCTTTTTATTATAATAATTATAATTATTTACAGAAATAAAGAATAAAAGGAGCCTCATTTAAAACAGGGACCCTGTGAGAGCCATTCTATTTTACGTTTTCATTTTTAATTAAATATTTCTGAGTGGTAACTGTGACAATGAAGTGGGGATAAATATTTTTACAACTTAGATACTTAAGGAATTTATTGTATATGAAAACAGATTTTTCACTTAAGCTGGATATTAAGTGTTTGTAAAAAAGCTATACCTATGACATTTGCCAAACACATTCCACACCAACAATAGTAAGGGAAGTTTCAAAAGCAAATCTAACTTTCCCGTTTTCCTTTCTTTTCCCTTCATAACTGCCTGTTTAATGGGCAACTTTTTGATTTGTGTCTATATATTTTTATCTGGCTCTCTTGCTCAATATTTTTCTCCTCAGGGGATAATTTAAATCATGATAGAGCATTTAGATGTTTCAAAGTCTGTCGTAGGATGGGCAAGTTGCCTTTGAGCATGTGCAATGTTTTTTCATGTCACTGATGAGACACACTGATGAGACAAAGCAGCAGTCCCCCTGCATCTTAATAATGCTACAGCAGAGGTCAAGATTTATAGCATTGGGCACAAAAGATATGCCATTTTACTGATGAAGTAGAATCACTTTGCAATAATATTTAGGACAGGATTTCTGTGCAAATATCTTGTGGAAACTGACCATGTATGTTCACTGAAATGGGTATTTTTTAATAAGAAGCACAGGTTCCTTCCCCAGGAACCGCTGACATGCTTGTTCAGTTTTGTTTAATGGGAATTGTCTTGAAAGCATATCTTGTGCCAAGCAGGCCAGCTAACATGTGTTCAAGGAGTAAGTGCAATAGCAGAGCTGAAAGGATGGGAAGCTTTTCAAGATTAGCCTCTTCATTCTCCCAGCTATTCAAGCTGCTGCTATTCCCCCAATTTCTCTAGCCATAATGACTATACTGTAGCCATTATGTTTCTTATAGTCTTGCTTATTATTTGCTTTCAGAGTAAATCAAGTGTAACTAAAAATTATTAATTCCATAAAGGAGGGGAGAAGTATCCTGCCATTAATGGAAGGTTTTGAATATACTGGAAAATGTTTCAGATTAAATATTTCTTGTTTGTTTTTAATAATGTGAAAAGGTGCTAAAAAACTGGCATATTTTAAAATAGATCGCTATAGCTTTTTTAAAAAAATAAGTATTTTGAATAAAGCTTACTTTCCCATCATTTTCAGCAAAATGTTTTTTTTCCCCATGTTTTCAACAGTTACAAAGAATCGAAAAAGTTCTTACCCTTTGTGATTTATTTTATTCTCTCAGGATGTATTACAATGCTGATCTTTGCTTTGATAAATATTGGGAAGATTCTATTTTTTTATGACCTAAATAAGCATTGTTAATTTTTTCTTTGTAATGAAACTCGTTAGAATTCAAAATCATGAGATAGATAGTCCTTTTGTGTTATGGAATGCATGAAGCATAACAACTTTTTAAAAATCAGTATTATTTAATTCTGGCCTTAGCCAAACTTAACAATTTATCCCAATTTAATTGCAAACATCTATAATAGTATGCAACATTGCTCCTTTTGAATTATAAAGATAGCTAATTAAGTCAAAATATAGTATATAGAGAAATGAAATAAAGGGAAATATACTAGAAATAGAGAACTAAAAATAGTCTCTAAAATTGATTCACAAATTATTCATATGATCTCTCTTTAGGACAATAGTTAGAATAATTAACACGAGGGCATCAACTCTAAAGCAAGATGAAAATCAGAATGCCAATGAAGCTTTAGATTAATATCTATGAAATATGCTTACTTAGTCTTAGATACGTTTATTTAAATTGCTCCTTTTCAGGGATGCAGTTGCAAAGGTTTTGATAGTTACTATCTTATATAAGCAAAGATTAATTAAAAAAGAATTTAAGGAATTGGTATTCAGCACAGCTTTAAAAGGTTGCATCCTGGCTTGATCACCGAAGGCATTCACTGTTTATGCAGTGAAACAAAGAAATGAAGTTTCTCTGACAAGGATTCATGCATCTGTAACCAATATGGTTACCAATCTGTAATCAATGTGGTATGTTTGAACTACAAAAGTACTTTAAGAGCTATCAGTATTCTTGGATTCCCTCCTGTGGACACAGGGACTCTTCAAAAATACTTCGTGTATTTATAACTTATGTTCCTCGAGTTGCAATTTATGCCAATGTAACTTTCAAAAGCTATCTCTAGGTTTAGAAGCATAAGTTCTTCAAATATAGCTTATTTTGGCAGCATGGAAATAATGGCAGGGTTCTAAGGGCTCCAAGTGAGGCAAAATATCTGGGCTACAGTTGTTGGTATTGTTATAACATTAAATGGTCATGAACTTATGGCATGTGCTGTACTAAGCATGGAAATGAAACAGTCTTCACCAAGGGAAAAAAAATCACCAGAAGATGTATAGCAAAATAAAATAGGTGAGGTTTAAAGAAAACTCTGTGTTTATCTCAAGATATTTACATCAAAGAGAATTTACATCAAAAACTGTTAAATACTAGATTTAGATGGAAATACCTATTGGATTTTCATCCTTTACCTAAAAGGGTGATAGTATAAGAGTGGTATTATATATAACTAAGCAAACTATCTAATCTGCAAAAAGGGTAAGATGGTGATTGGAAAGAGAACAAAATATTGTGTATTTTATTAGATTCTTGTGCCATGCAAATCATAGGCAAGATGTTCATACAACAGTACATCAATTCATTTACATCTATGTCTCACGGATTGTTTTATAAGATGGGGCATACAACTTTATTTTAATATACAGATGATTATGGATCTTCAAGAAGCCTCTGATCCATAGCAAAGTTATGCAGATTGGCTTCTAAAGAAAAGGTAGAAAAACAGGTACCTAGCATCCAGAAGATTGTTAAAAGTACCCAGAAACAAAACTGTAGCCATTGTTGATTGAGTACCAGTTGCTGGCTAGACAGCAGGAGATATTTACACTTTTCAAATTGCTGTTAATAACCCATGGTATTGAAAAAAATGTTAGTAATACAACTTAAGACAAAAACCGAACCACACAAACAACCCAAGACCCTTAGAAGGCTTTAAATTTAAAAAAGGTGACACTGAATATGAATGGTGCACATATTCATTTTGGCCTGGTGTTATCAACGGGTGAAAGTGGAAGGGTGTAGAGGAGAGTTCTGTCAGATTTCTAAAGGGAATTTACTTCTTCGGATCCTGCTTGACAGTTCTTAGCCACTGTTGGCAGAATTGGTTGGATCTGGAGTAAATAAAATAAAATAAATACATTTTAGATTCTTTTGCCTCATAAAACAGCAAAAATGTTAAACTTACTGAATACTGCTGTTGAAGAACGCAGCAAAGTTCTAAACAATGTAATAAATTTAGCTTAATTCTAAGCAGTGATATAGTGAATTAAAATGAACTGAATAGGCCAAGTAAAAGTATTTAGTTTCACTGTAACAAACTGGGACCATCCAAAAATAAGTGTCAGAATCACTATTGCATTTGAATTTATTTATACTTGCAAAGGCCTCAATTAGCTAGAATTGCTTAATATAAGTAATGAAAATATGTAGTTTGTGATATTTACCATATAAAAAATAAGGAATAAATGACAATTCAGAAAAATTAGACTGACCATTAATTAAAAAATAATATGCATTAGTATTAACAAAATCTTCCTAAATTAGTAATAAAATTGCGTTTATGCATTCATGAATATTTACCATTTCATTATTAGTAGTTAAACTAAAATAACCTGGAATCCCAAAATATCAACTAGAATAATATACTGTACTTGTGACATGGCATATACTATACATATATGAATTTCACACATTCAAATTAATTTGTCAAAGTGAAGAGAATATTACAAGCATTCAATCTCAGAATATATTGGGTATTTTTCTGAAATGTCATATACTAAAAGATGCTTGTCTTGCCAGATACATAGTACATTTCTCCAGATAACTGTTTATTTTATTTATTATCTTCAAGGAGATTATGAAAATAAGTTTATGTCAGATGTTGACCATATAAAAACTAATGAACTATAGTGTCTCCTTGCTAGAAAATAGATACTGAAATTCTGCAAATAGCACAATGCATTTTAGTGATTTATGGATTTATACCAGAAAACTCTTTATTTTAAATATGTGCTCCCAATTTACTATAGGTAGTAATCATCATATATATTATAGGATCCAATCTGGCTCATCACTGGAAGCAGAGGTTACACACAACTAGGCATAATTTTTTTGAATTTTTGAATTTGTTTATTTATAGGCCGCCCTTTTCCCTGAGGGGACTCAGGGCGGCTTACAATCACAAAGGGAAAGGAAGTGTGGG